GAGTAGGAGTAGGAGTAGGAGTAGCTTGATGTAGAACTTTGAGCAGGAACCGAATTTCGAGTTCTGAAGAATTCTCCAGCAACGCCTAAGACAAATGGCCATGTTGTGGGTTCGTGTCGCCATGAAACCCAAATCCATCTGACTCCCCTGAACCGTAAACGCTAAGCCCTGAACCCTCTCAGGCCGACGTCAGCTCTATGCGGAAAAGCTTTCTTCGAGCTCGGAGTCAGGCGCCTAAGCCCTAAACCTTACTTGAGGGCCCGGGACAGGAACCAGGGCTGCCTATACGGAATAAACAGATCTTCAGGGGATTGCTTTGGAAGGGCTAGGGTGTTTTGGGCGACGAAAACCTTCAGCCGTGAGGGTCAAGAAAAGGGAACCTGCATGCGAAGCCGGAAGCCAGAATGGAGAAGACCCTGGACGAAGGATGATACCAGCCTCCCTGTAAAGACTTGTGCTCACGACAGGCAGTCGCATACACAACGGTCGACATTACAGCCTTAACTTTCAACCCAAACCCCCCAAACCCTATAAGGCATGGAACTCCTTCGGAAAAATCAACGCTTCAACGCCAGCCCCTCACTCAACCTTACATGGAATGCCTTGCCACAACCTCGGAGTCGAGCTGGCTCCTCAATTCTCGAGCAGATTCGGCAAGGTATTCGGGCATGACTCTCAGCAACATTATTACTTAGGGTTTTGGATATAAGGATTTGCAATGTATATTAGATATAGTATATTATCTATGTATATATATATATATTATACAATGTTTTAAGGGTATGTGTACTTCAGGCCCCTCTAACTGAAGTTGCACAACTACATAAGCTTGCGGCGTGCTCCGGACCTGCCTCAAACTCTTATAAGGCCCCGTTTGACCCGAGCCCTCACTCGTAAACACATCTTGCAAATCATGGCTGGAGGGTTCAGTGAGATCAAAGTACACAGTTGCCACAAAGCTGGTCAGACCGGGAACTGCCGGGAACCGAAAGCCCAAACTGATCTGTGCCTCTTCGCTTGGCGCAGGTGCTACCAAGAAGGGCTTTGATTGGGACGGCGTGCGGAGGAGGGGCGCTCAGTTGTGGAATCTGAACTCGATGCTCAACTACCGTGACCACCTTGGGATCCTGCAAAAAATAGGTCCTGGCCAACAACTCCCCCATAACAGCCACCACTTGAAGCTGCATGGCTTCATCCGAAAAGTTGCCACAGCAGTCGCGTCATGATGGCGGCAGCCCAAGTTTTCCTCAAGCCAGCAAAACCAGCATGCATTCCAGACCCGCAATCCCACCAAAGGCTTAATCCGCTGGAGACCGTGGACCCTATCACCCGGAACCCTAGACCCACTCCCTAAACCAACCATCTACAAGCCTCAAACCCAAGAACACTCACAGGGCCTTCGACTTCTATGAGAGCCACGGGCTGCAGCCACAGGGCGTCTGCAAGAACAGGCTCTCCGCAAGGTTTTGGGGCTTCGGAATTTGGGGATTCATCGGGTTTAGGGTCTTTTGGGGCTTGTAACGTGTGGGCGTTTAGGGCTTAGAGGATTTCGGTATGATTCCAGGACCTAGGGTGTTAGCTTGCAGTTTGAGGTGACAGAGTCCTTGAAATCTACCCCCTTTCTCCTTAAACACATCGGTTCTAGGGTTAGGGTCCTGAATGAGGAGTCAAAACAATGAGTATTACCATTCCCCAGGGTTCCTTGTTCATCATGTCTCCCCAATCCCTTAATCTGATGATTTTGGAAGCGTGATCTGTGGATGACTCCTTTCAGGACGGCCGTGCTGTCGCCGGTGCCCTCGGACCTCAAGTCCAAGGTCATCATCTGCCCCATCGTGGATGATCAGCGATGCCCGGCTGGTCCTGGTAAACCCCTAAAGTCCCACAGGGTGCATCAGTGTGCATGTATTGTACGGCTTCACAATGTGCATCTGGTGACGTCGGGTTTCAAAGTTTCTTCAGCAGTTGAAGGAGTTTGGACTTTGGATTTCCGATTTGTTGGCATCCACGCACGTGGTTAGGGGTTCCAGTTGCTTTACCTGCGTGCCCGTCGCGCAACGCCAGATGCCACATTCTTGACACGAGATTCTGTAGTCATGTTTATGTATAATTAAGTCGTTTACGACAACGACAGCACACCGCCAGTAGCGCAGTCGTCGTCGTAGTCGTAGACGTGGTCGTAGTAGCAGTCGTCGCAGTAGCAGTAG